CGGCCCGTGTGGGCCGGCGCAGGGCCTGCTCCGCCCGCCCGGTGCCGCGCTCGCTCGGCGCGCCTGCATTTGTTTCTTTGGAGAGCGAGGGAGGAGAGGCACCTTGACAGGGTCTTCACCCCACAGTCCTCCCAGCCCTGCAGCCAGCCAGGATCTCAGCTGGGATCACAGGCCCCCCTCGTACAACTGGGTGTCCAGGCGGCCCCGGGATGGGGACCTGGAGCCTTCTCGTGTGGCCTCAGTGCCACAGAGCGTGCCCGGCTGCCTGCTGCCAAATTTGGACTAGCAAGTAAGGTTAGCCTCCAGATTTCTCTCGCTTTCCTTCGCAGAAGTAGGAGCCATGCTGTTAATGACTTATCTGTCATTCTGTAAAATTCCCTTTGGGATTGTCCATAGTGGAATAATCATAGTAACCAATGGGAAAGTGACCAGTTTGCTTTATGTAGACGTACGCATGTCTTAAACACCTGGAATGCTTCTGGAAAACATAGGCTTGCTGTTCTGTTTCTATTCTGTCCCTCAGGTCTCTTTCTTATTTAGTGACCGAGGGATTCCGGATGGACACCGGCACATGAATGGCTACGGCTCACATACTTTCAAACTGGTGAACGCAAGCGGAGAAGCCGTTTATTGCAAATTCCACTATAAGGTATGGTGCCTTTAGGGTGGGGTCGAGGCTCCCACCTCTTCTTGTTCCTCCAGAAGGGCTGATCAGAGATTCAGACCTCTCCCATCTCTCCTGCGCCCACCCCCATGAGTGGCCGTCTGACTGGCCACTGTCCGGGCAGGCCACCTCTCACGGCCTCTCTTAGCTTCTTCTTTACCTGTGGCCAGAGGAAGAACACGTGGCTGCTTTTGGCAGCCGAGGCTGTCTGTCTGCTTCGGAACTCCACGAGCTGTCCGTATAGTTGGGGGAATCGGCCTCTCCGTGCCTGCCGTCTGGCTCAATGTTTCTGGTGCTGAGCAGGCACAGGGCATTCTCTTTTTTTTTTTTTAAGAGAGATTTTTGCTATAGGGTATGTGCACTCGCTGGGCAGACAGAGACAGAGACAGAAAGCGAGAAATCACTCCCTGTGGGTGGGGGGTGGTGGCCATGCTGTAATCTCTTCTCCTCCATCCTCCTCTCTTGGGATCTTGGGCACGCACATGCACCCAACATGAGTTTTATGCCACCGGGTCCAGGACTCGAACTGCAGTTGATGACGTGGGAGTCCAGCGTCCGCTGGTCCCAGAGCATTCTCCTTAGAGTGGGAAGACCTGAGATTTTGGTGCGGGCTCAAAGGGAAGATGGTGACAGTGGAGCTGCCAGGTTGGGCAGAGGACGCCCCTCGGGTAGCGAGCGTGGCTGGCGTCTTGGTGCAGCCTGGAACCCGCCCTGCGGACAGCCAGGTGTCAAGGTGCTTCCCTCATGCCAAGTCGCCGTCCTGGGCATCGTCTTTGGGCCCAAGGGGGTGAGGCGGAGTGGAGTGTGCCCGGCTTGCTGTCACGGCTGCCCGCACCTGACGAGCTCCACCTAGAAGCGTCTCCTACCTTTCGAAGTCACCCGCTGTGACTTCTGGTCATGTGACTGTCTGGTTGTGGCTGTGTCATGGCCACACAGCTGAGTAAAATTGACGTCAGACGTCAGGGGCAGAGTCAGGCTGGCTTTTCTGTTGGCTTTCACAACTGGCCATGGCAGCCACCGGGGACCCTTCAAAAGCCTTTCAATCTTCTGGGTGTAAGGGACCCTCTCGCGGTGAGTCCCGGCATGTCACGGTAAGCCCTAAACCAGGAGTTCCGGAGAGTCGCAGCACCCCTGGACCGCTTCAGAGTTACAAACAGAAGGCCGACTGAGCAGAGGAGTAGCGGTGACAGACAGCCTTCCTCTGACACCCAGATGTGTCCCTTCTGTCCTTGTAGCTGTCACCTGGGCGACGTGCTAGGTATTCCCAGTGGTCCCGTCGGCCCCCTCGTCACTGACTCGGGTCTGTCTTTGACCTGGAGCAGCTTTAAGACAGCTTACCTGCTGGCTCATCTACACCAAGGGAGCCATGTGTCACCTGAGCTGGACCCAGCACAGTGGTGGCCCTGGGGTCAGATCTGCCCTCTCCTAGGTCACATGGCCTTGGGGATATTCCTGAGGGTTCTCTGCTCTCCAGTTCTTGTCTCTGAGGAGTTGAGTTGACCGTGTCGTCCACCACCCTGGGGCTCGGGCTGCTTCCGTGTGTTCAGAAGAGGGCTCTGAGGCAGCGGGGATCTAGGAGCGACCTGAAAAGGTGCCTGGAGAAGGGAATTCAAGTACAGGTTAATCTGGTGCAAAGATTTGGACATTCTTGCACATTTTTCTTTCCTTTTTTATAATTTTTAAAAATTTTTTGAGAGGTTTTTGCTATAGGGTACATGCACTCACCAGAAAGACAGAGAGATACAGAAAGCGATAAGTCCCCCCCCAGGGAGGATGGCCATGCCGCAATCCCTTCTCCTCCACTCTCCTCTCAGGGTCTTGGGCACGCACGCACATGCGCCCGGCGTGAGTTTAAGCCACTGGGTCAGGACTCAAACCGCGGTCAACTGCATGGGAGTCCAGCGACATAGCCAGTTCGCCACCTGTTGGTCCCTATCCTGTGCATTTTTCATAGCATGCCTTTTCACGGACTTTCAGAGAGCCCTCACGCAGGGGTTCGTCAGTCTGACCAAGGTCTCTCTCCAAAACCCAAGAGTTGGTCAAAACCAGAGAGCGAGTCCCGCGCGGTGGCCCAGCTCACGGCACCGGCCTGGTGATCTGCAGGGCCTCACTTGGGACTGGTCAGTAGGAGCCCCTGGCCCCGACCGCTGCCTGCTAGGGGCGGGTTTCTGGGGCAGAAGCAGACCAGCCTGCCGGTGTTTGCTGAGGAAACCTTTCCATGGCTCCGGGCGTGTTGAGGGTCTTTCGGAATAAAGGCTAGGTGGTAAAGCAGCTGAATACCAGTGTGGTGGGAGAATGCGGTCATGTGTGAGGGGGACGGTTTCTCCAGGTTATAATGGCTTGTTGGAAGTCAGAACACTGGCCGTGCCACCTGGAGTCAGAGCGCTGGCCCCGAGGGCTGTGCTGAGCTCCTTCCAGCGCTGTGAGCTGTGATTCTGTGATTTCTTAGCAGGAGAAGGGAGAGTGTCGAAGTGCAGGGAGCTTGCAGACCACGGCATGCGATTTGAACTGTTAGAAAATGGGAGTGAAACAACTGTCTCATGTCAAAGCCAAAAGGAAGTTCTTAGATTTATTCGTTTTTTAAAGTCTTTTTTTGTATTGGGCATGTGCACTCCCTAGAGAGAGGCAGAGAGAGAGTGAGAGAGAGCATTCCCCCCGGGGAGGGACAGCCAGGCCACAAACTCTTCCCCTCTCGGTATTCCAGGCATGCACGCACATACTCCTGGCATGTTTTTGAAGCCACTGGGTCCGAGACTTGAACCAGAAAGCCATTCATGAGGGATTTAGCTGCCTTGACCTGTGACATCTGCGGGCCCAGAAATCCTGGAATAAAAAAAAAAAATTTCTTATTAAAGATTAACGTGAGGGGATGGCAGGCGGCACGGTGGTTAGGAGCGCTAGACTCCCATGGCCAACAGCAGTTCGAGTCCCAGACCTGGCAGCTTGCTTTCTCACTTTCTCACTCTCTCATTCTGCCCTCTCTAGTCAAATTACAATGAGTAACAGATAAACAAAGTTAAATAAAATGATTCTTTTAACAGAAGGTCAGCATGAGCATGAAAATGTAAATAGCACAGCGGGGAAAGTAGGGCTGGTTTTGGCCGTGAAGTGTGGATCGTGTTTCCTGGCAGTTCGAAGGCTGGGACACGCAGTGGGATCCCCGTGGGTCGCACCAGCCTCGGCTGTGAACAGTGCCTGCTGCTGTAACGGAAGCGCGGCCTCGGCGTTGCGTCGCCCGCGCTGCCGGTGCGTCGCTGGTGAGAGTGGCACGCTTTTGCGGGTGACCCCCGGTCTGACTTCTTGTGCCTGTTTTATAGACTGACCAGGGCATCAAAAACCTTTCAGTGGAAGACGCAGCAAGGCTTTCCCAGGAAGACCCCGACTACGGGCTCCGGGACCTCTTTAATGCCATCGCCACAGGCAACTACCCGTCCTGGACCTTCTACATCCAGGTCATGACGTTCCAGCAGGCGGAGACGTTCCCCTTCAACCCCTTCGACATCACCAAGGCGAGTCTTTTTAAAGTCTCTTCTTACCTAATTAAAAACATCCCCACCAGGCATTCTCCATGAGGGAAGGCATCCCTGCTGGGTGCAGCCCTGGACGGGTGCCCAAGCCCCTTCTAGTAAGTCCTGGACCCCCGTGGGCAGCTGCATGCACTGTCACTGGTCGGGAGCAAAGTTCGAGAGGATGGTGGACTCTCGCCCCGGGAGTGTGTCAGTATTTACCATTTTGAAACGTCTAACTAATGCAATCACCAGGTTTTTTTTTTCTTTTAATTGCTGAGAGGTCTGTGTGCCTGCCAGGGAGAAGGTGGGAGGGAGGGGAGGAGAGCCCCCATGGGCACCTGGCTCCCTGTAGTCCTCTTCCCTCCATTCCTCCTCGTCAGGAGCCGGGCAGGCACACGCACACGGCTGGCTTGTTTTCCAACTGCCAGGGCCAGGAGTGGAAGTCAGACGCCACACGGCTCTGCTCTGCTGGGTTACAGGGCCGCCTAGTGACCTTGCATTCTTGTCATGCTTCATTGAATTAAATGGACTATTTTTACTGGCTTGGTAGTACTTGAAAACCGTTTGTTTTTAGGTTTTTACCATAGGGCATGTGCGTTCACTGGGGAGAGAGAGATAAAGAGAGAGAAATGAGAAATCACCCCACAGGGGATGACCACGCCGCAGTCCCTTCTCCATTCTCCTCTCGGGACTCTGGGCATGCATGCACACGTGTCCGGTGTGATTTTCCAGCCTCTGCTCTGGGATTCTGGTCTACCGTGTGGAAATCCAGTGCCTTACCCACCGTGCACGTGCTGGCCCCAAAGCCAGCATCGTTGTGGGCGGCTCGGATCTCCTCCTGTGTGAACCTCCTATTGATTGCAAATGTGCCGTTGTCCCAGGTCTGGCCTCACAAGGACTACCCCCTCATCCCCGTTGGTAAACTCGTCCTGAACCGGAACCCTGTGAATTACTTTGCTGAGGTTGAGCAGGTCGCCTTCGACCCAAGCAACATGCCTCCAGGCATTGAGCCCAGCCCGGACAAGATGCTGCAGGTGAGCCTGGGGGCTGAGGATCTGAGGCGGGTGTCTGTGTGTGTGCGCACATGCACACATGCACAAGTGCACAAGCACACATAATACGTGCACACGTGCACACGTGCAGGGTGCTTGCTGAATGATCACGTGAGGAGTTAGCCAGAACACCACCAGGTCCCGCTGAGGTGAGCCCCCTGGGTAAAGTCCCCACCTCGGCGGGCCCTGAGGGTGCAGCCTCTTCATCGGACATGTGCAGGCTGCAGTGGTGGCCCCGGGGTCTGAGGTGGGCTCGTCCAGTGAGTAGCTGACCAGTGAGGGTGTGAGTGGAGTATTAACTGTGCCGTGGTCAGGGTAAGTTCCTCCACCTCCTGTCCCCAGGGCCGTGCCGCTGTGAATAGAGGTGGGCGTTATGAGCAGAGCTTGTGCTTCGCGGCAGGGGGCCAGCTGCGTCTGTCTCCCGGATGTCGTGGGCACTCCGCGGGTCCCCCCACCGCCCCGGCT